CACTATCCCAACCATCCATGTGGACATTTTTGGATTTTGGAGTATTACAGATTTTGGAATTCCAGATGAGGGGTATTCAATTTGTACGAGGGGGTATTATAAAGTTTTAATTATCACCTTTAAAAAATTTGACAGAAAGTTTGATTTGATTGGTAATTGTTAACTTATCTCTACACAGTCACCATCCAGATTTACACATTTTTCCAGTGTTTCTTGATCCTCCCAATACTACTGTTGTAGAAGTCTGCAGATTGTGCCTTAAACCACTCTTCCACTTCATGAATTATGTTATCTGTGTTGTCGAATCAGTGATCCTGCAATGGATTTTTCATTTTTGAGAAAAGAAAAAGTCACTTGGTGATGATGACACTGACAAAATTTCATCAATATACCATAACTTCTGGATGATAATTATTATTTTACAACACCCCCTCGTACTTCTCCATCTTACACTTTAATCACTTCTGGCATAACTTGTAACAAAAAATAAAGGACACAACATGCTGGTTTTTCTCAGCATCATGCACTTAGGGGCCATTGATGACACTTACAAAATTTCATCAATATGCCATACAACGTCTGGGTGATAATTATTACTTTATGATTCCCCCTCGTATTATATATTGCTTGTTTGCAGCTGGGTACACAGTATAATAGCAAGACTGATCCTCAAGTGACAGACCTCCACCTTGCCTTCCCATCCTGTGATTGCTGCAATTTGCTGTCTTTGAAACATCAGCCCCATTTGTAGCCTGGGGAAAAAGGAGTGGAGGGCTTACCTACTGAAGGCTGGATGTGGACGTGGAAGCTACAGGGACGGGAAGTGGGCAGGGTGGGTTTTAATGGTTACAGAAATACTTGGGAGAAGGTGAACTTGGGCCTCGTTTACACTAGGATTTAAAGCAAATTGCTGATCAGGTTATATATCCATTGTTCCCACTTGAAATTGGTTCTGATCCTACTGTGCTCAGTTTCAATCATGATGAAGCGAGGCAAACGCAAAAGAACCACTCTTTCCTAATACTAATTTTTGGGCTAGGATTTAAAGTGAATTGCTGATCAGGTTATATGTCCACTGTTCCCACTTGAAAGCGGTTATGATCCTACTGTGCTCGGTTTCAATCATGATGAAGCAAGGCAAACTCAAAAGAACCACTGTTTCCTGACATTAGTTTTTGGGTGGTTCTTTTGAAAAGACCCAAATTCGAACCATGTTCAATAAGTGGGAATGATGGGTCTGATTCACATCGGGGGGGGGGGGTCCTGCACCAGCTCTTGCCAGCTTCTGTCAGCCAGCCCAATGCTCTGGTGCCATTCTTGGGGGCACAGCCATGGGGCACCATCTTGTTTACTCTTGTTTGAGTAAACCCTGCAAACTCCCTAAGCTCTCATCTGTAAACTCAGGCCTTGTGTACATGGATGATTTCTGCCAAATTCCTCCTGAGCATGCTGTGTCCTGGTAACATGACATGGGGCCAAAACCCCAAATCAAGTTTGGACTGTCTTCATGACTCCCCCACCTGATCTGGGGCTTCCTGCCCATAACCCTCAGTTTAGTTTCTCCCTTCCCTGGTACCAGCTCTCTCTGCAGTGACAATGAGTGGCTGTCTTCCCAATGCAGTCCCTGGGAGCCACCCAGCACCACTGCTGTGGGCACAAGCCGCTCTGAGGTCAGAACAAGGTAGCTAGCATCGATAGCATGGCTGGGCACCTCATAAGTAGTGCTGGGTAACAAACAAGTGTGAGAAGGCAGCCACCCATGATTTGCTGCATGAGAGCCCAAAGGTAAAGGAGCAATTCAAAGAGAATTTGGGGTCAGAATATTCCAAGGCTAATCCAGAGTATTCTGGGAAATGTGGACAGGGCCTCAAAATACAAGTCTCAGTGACATCACTGCTAGCAGTGTTGCTAAATGTCTAAGAACTTGGTCTCAATTTGCAGAACAATACTCGGCTATCAAGCAGCATTTTTTCCCCTCATACTCTGGAATACAAAAGTAGAGTTCTGGACAGGCAGTAGGGATGAGGAAAATTACTTGCAATTACATTTCCCAGCCAAAGAATATAACAGTAGCAAAAATGCTTTGCATCTGGCATAGTCTTTGTTGTTGTTGTTATTATTGTTGTTGTGTTCCTTCAAGTTGTTTCCAACTTATGGTAACCCCAAGGAAAACCTATCATGGGATTTTCTTGGCAAGATTTGTTCAGAGGAGGTTGGGTATTGCCTTCCCCTGAAGCTGAGAGAGTGTGACTTGCCCAAGGTCACCCAGTGGGTTTTGTGGCTGAGCTGGGAATCGAA